TGTAGTATTAGCGTTAAAGTAGACACTAATGTAGGATTAGCGTAAGAGTAGCCACTAAGTGACATAACCGAGATTGCTAATAAAAGGCCTATGCCGCAAGTAATGTATACTATTGCTGGAATTAAAATACATAACGTTAATCAAGAATATACTTATTATATAAACTCTTTGCCAGGAAAGATTGCCGGTCACAGCACACCTTGTGTCCATTTACAAACTATGTTTTTCTTAAGATGCGAGCGACTTCCGGAATAGGATCGTGCCAATGGTGAACGAAAAGTCTTTTTGTTCAACATTGACACGATACTATCCCGGAAGTCGCTCGCATCTTTAGAAAAACATAGATTGTAGACCGGGATCAAATGTTCTATGACCGACAATCTTTCCTGGCGAGAGGTTATATACATTAATATCACATGTTTATCACCAAAAGAAGCGCCTATTTTTAGCTAAAATAATTCAATCGAATTACGGTCCTACATCATAGGCGGCTTTCTTTCGGTGATTTCAAACGCGGTGGCCATGTCAATCACGTTCTTTCGAAATGTGATCTTATGATCATGATTGCTAAAATCGTGAACAAACTGAACATAAAAGTTTTATGATCACGAATTCCTAACCTATAAATGCAAGGATATTTTTGCTCAAATGTTCCAGTCAATATTTGTAACTGAAGAGGGGCATAATCGTGCAAGTACTCCACTTGTATTTAAATTATTTTCATAATCCAAACAAAAAAAATTACCGTAATTCGAATGCAAATGTGGTACTACGTAAACTTAACCATACTTTGATTTAAATTCGCGCGTTCTTTCGTAAAACGTGATCCTACGAATCACGATTTTGAAATCATGATCGCGAAGTAGCCGAAAGAAAGCGCCTCATATTTCCAAAGCCAGTTTGACGTTGATTTTATTTCAACGCTCGTTAGAAAAAAAAATGACAACAATGTTGAGGTTCATTTCGTAGATATAGGTACCTACCTGGAACCAACTCCATAACAATCATGATTGGCTGCTTCTGCACACAAATTCCGATAAGTTTAACAATATTTGGATGATCATACTGCTTTAAAATTCTGCCTTCCTGTAAAAATTTCTTCTTATGCTCTTCAGGTAGTGTAACCCTACAGGTTTTTACAGCCACTTCTTGATTGCTACTCTTTAGTTGTGCTTTGTAGACATCTCCGAAGTTTCCCTAAACTTACATAATCGCAAAAATGCTTGTGGCACACTATATTAACATACCCTTCCAATTTTGTCAAGTAAAATCACGTCGTCGTTGTTTAGTTCCCATCTCTCTCTAGGGATTGGTTTGTGTAAAATCGCACCAGACCTGCCGGTGACGGCCAAACCGCTACTAAATTGGTATAAAATTAATTCTCTAATGCTGGGAAAAGCAGGTCCCTCAAAACGGTAAAGGCCCTACAATTTATAAGAAATTATAATAAAAGGGCTTACTATAATGACATTACTTCTGCAGTAGTTTGAACAATAAAGTGTTTGTGCCCACCCCAGCATACAGATAAAACAGTTTGACATTCATCGTTTCTTGTCGTTTCTCTAACAAGGAAGTCCCCTTCCTGAGTGAGCAATCTGACTACTTCTTCTCTTGGTAAAACTCCATGAAACCATTCTTCATCCATTAGAGTTTTATTTGTGCTTAGAGCTACCTAACATTGAAAATTTTAATCATATCTTGGAGAAAAACCTAATGAGTAATTTCTATATACAAGAATTAAAATTCCTTAAGAAATTGAAGGATAAGCAATAAGCAAAATAATGAAGCATCTACTTAGAAGACTATGTTATAGATCAAGTCCTATAAACAGTAATGCAAAAATATTATTATGTTATTTTTATGAAATAAATTAAAAGCACCTACTGGATCTGACCCATCACTATGAGGTGTAGATTCACGCCGTCCCTTCGTGCGAGGAGGCGCCACAGGTGATGATGGTTCAGACTTTCTACGGAATGGCTTCTTAAGCAAGTTAACTATCTTCTGATGCCCCAAAGCTCTTTTTATCAAGGAAGGTTCTGTACCATCACCCTAAAATATTAACCAACACCTTCCCAAATGTATGTAAGAGATTTAAAAGCTCAGTCCAGTCAACGAACATAATAATTTTTTGTCCTTCAGTACTATTTTATTACTCCATCATTTATCTCAAATCTCAACATCTCATAATTTATTTATAATCAGTAATCACCTAAAGGGATTTGATTAATTTTGCAAAAAAAATGTTGTTCTTAGTGAAACACCATGCGGTCAACTTTTTACAAAGGGCTTTAAGAGTCTGATGTGATGCAGTGACTGCCAAGTTCTACTTTTTAAAAGTCCATCCCAGAGTGTTACAATACAAACGTAAGTATTTAAAATGTTATACAGGTTTCTTCATCAGCTCTTGTTTGTTTATTTTAATAATCGGGTCGCAAAATTAATCTCTGATGAAATAAATGAGAGAAGAGAGATAAAAGGTTATGTGTACTGTAATCTAGGAGTTCATTAATAGACAAATAAGCACGCAGGTTCATTGGTCCTCTGATAGGTATTCTTTGAAAACCGAATTATGTCTCAACCAAAAAATTTAGTGAGCAACATTTAAATTTAAAAATGGACAATGTTACAAAGGTGTACCAATATGAAACCGTTCTTTGACTGAACTAATTAGACAAATACTTAGAATGACAGAAATTAGTAATCATACTACAGACTATTTGCCATTTTCTAGTAAAGGTGCTGCTGTATTTCTTAAGCCAACTTAGAAATGTCAGTTATTTCCTAAGGGAAGTAGCAAACACTGTGTGCTCTATTGAAATGCATATAATAGAATAACTGTTATTTATGATTTAATGTATTTCATTGTATCAGTGTATAAAATGTGTTTCAAAAGTGTCATTGTAAAGGTAAGTAAGTGAATTTGCGCCGGTGCAAATTATAATTCAACACGTTGCCGTTAAAGCAAATTGAAACCTTTGTGTTTTTTAATTTGTCTTTTATAAAATTAATTTTATTCCTAACTAAGAACCAACAGTTATGGGATATTTAATTACCTAAAGCCAAGTTTCAGGGGCAGTTGAGATATTTTTAACAGCACATACATTATATACAGAAACAACAGATTGCTAACTTTATGCATTTCATAGGTAACAGGTAAAACACTTAGGTAATAGGTATACAGTGACTCTATAGTGACAGTGTGGTTATACAGTGGTGTTAATTTCTATTGGTAACGCAATGTTTTTACCAAATGCACCTGATTGGTAGAAAAGGTCACGTGCAAGTGTTTTTACAGTTTTTCCTGTTTCCATTAATATTGTCGATATTGTATTTGTTGGAAAGTCTTCTACAATACTAAGGTAGGTGGATACATATATCATTATTGTAGATTAAAGGATAGGTAATTTACAAATTACAGCAAAACATTGAATATTAAGTAATCAACTGATTAATACTACACTTTTTGTTGTAATTAAATGTTACATACACTTGTGAATAATTTGCAATAAATGAGTTCATATGGATACTTTTTGTAGTGTTTATAATAGTTGGATGCTCCGCTATTGGGTTTTCTAACAGAAGCGAGCAAGGATTCCTTATGAAAGTGTTTCCTAGAAACGCTCAAAGAAGAAAGCAATGGGTTGCTAAAGTTAGAAAGGAAAACTGGACACCTACAGACAGTGCGTTCCTTTGTGAAGTAAGTAAAATTAAATTCGTACTTAATCATATCTCTACCATGTTGCATTTTAGACACATTTTGAAACCGACATGTGGGACAAAACTAGAGTGGGATAGAAAACGAAAACTGAAACTTGCAAGTCAGAAAAGTAAGAGCAAATGTGTTTATGCGAGTAAATCCATTATGTTCTCAACAATGTAAATAATAAAAAGAAACACAATAAGGTCTTTGTTTTTTATTTCCAGTATAGCCTGAACCTGAAGGTTTTTTGTTCATTTGTCCCAGGTGTCACGTTTAAGCAACTGTTTCAAACGTAACTGATTTATGTAGGTACACAAAATAATGTTGGATTGATTTTATAGTTTTCTCCGTATTTAATCAAATGTCTATTACATGCACATTGAAGGTAATAAAATTTTCTACAAGAAAGCTTCAGTGCAAAATTTGCGTAAATCGCACCATTAGTCTATAAACACTCAAAATATGTGATTCTCCCATAAGTTTAATGATAAATTTGGAAAAAAAAATGGCGGATATGAGCATATGGCCACACTGTCTCTATAGAGTCACTGTATATACGTATACTTAAAAGCGCTTTCTATTCTATTTCACATCTAGCGCTTAAAACTGTAAAATCACACTTATGAATTTATGCATTAGATGTCGCTGCAAAAAAATTGATTCTATAGCTAAGGACCAGTTTCATAATCACGTAAAAGACTCCTTTACCTAAAGTCGACTTGATGTCCAAATTAAGACGGCCGTTACGGATAAACTCCTCCATTTCACGTGGACAATAATATCGACTTAAAAATTATAAATATCAATGAAATTGAAACTGCAGCTTGTAATGAATGTCATATGTCATGTCATGGAATTGTTTGTATTCATCGGCAACATTAATTTTTCATTAGAGTCGACTTTGGCCTGATTATAAAACTAGCCGTAATTTAGACATTCAGTTTTTTAAGGGCAATTATATCTAAGATTATTTATTTAATATGTGTTTTTTTTGTTTCTGTAGGTACCATTTAATATTCATTTATTAGTCAATATATTAGGTATAAGTGAAATAAATCGTATTTATTTACCTGTTCACTAGAATTAGAGTTAACAAAGGGTTGATTATCAATAGAAAGATCACAACCAGACGGCACTTCTTCACATCCCAGCTCATTTAAGGCACATTTGATTAATTCAGTTTGTTTCAACATTTTACGCTCTTGACATTTCAATTCATTAAGCTCTTTTTTACTGGTATCTACCAAGGACGTTTTACTAAAACTCATTTTTGAAACACGCAATAGTCAATCAACAACCTGTATACCTAGCACTTATATCATTATTACTACTTTTTCCATTATGTAATATTTCTTGATTTTGGGATGAAAAATTAGTCTTCTTTTCTTGAATATCCTTAATATTTGTTTCTAAATCAGATAGCTTTGTTCGTAACCATTCCACTGTAAGATTATCCACTGTTAATTGATTTGGCAGTAACTTTCCCGCATTTTCTTCAGTCAAACTCTCATCAAAACTAAATTTCACAGCTTCAGTTGGACTAGTTCTGCATAAAAGTGTTATAATAATTATAACAATAATAATAATAATAACAAATAATTTCAACGCAAACCAAGTATTGGTTACATCTAGGTGGACATGCCACTAGTTTTTCCTTATTATGTCATCACACAATACAATTTGTTTTAAAGAAACCTTACTTTTACGCTTGGACACCCAAAGAAGCAATGACATAAATCATTTCTAATTCTTGTTATGCAATGGATTACGATTTTATTAACTTAAATGACAAATACAAAGTCCGATAATGCAAACAAGGTGTTTCAATAGCGCAATTTATTATATTATCATTATCTAGTAATTATGATCGAAATTTTTATCAGCTTTATGAATAACCATAGTTTAGGATCCAATTAAAGTTAATAAATTAAATATTGTAAATAAAAAAAAACTTTAAAGTTTAAATAAACACTTTTCCCACCCAAACTTTAGGTAATGTTTGTTGGACATGACAGCACAAGTGGCTGTTGTAAAAATAACTGCTATAAAAAATACCTACTTACTTATGTTTCTCAGTGAAGTCATTATATTCTTCTGTATGTTTAATGGAATGTAAACTGCTATCAATTCGTTTATGAATATCTTTGTATTTGTCTGATGTGAAATCAGAAAAATGCGCCAGATCTTGCAGAAGTTGTCTCCTATAATACAACAAATTCGTTATCCATGTAAATTATGTAAATGACCTTACCAAGTTAGTACAAACCCCTCTTGAACGGATTGTTGGTATTCTAAAAGTCCTGGCAATAAAACAGTTCGAAAATCTTTTTCGAATTCGGCCGCTTCGCATAATAATAGAACATACTCGTTGTGTGTCAAGTGCAATTTTCTACATGCTTTTTGGTATTTATCTCGAACTTCGTCTAATTTTCGTCCTCCCCGTCCAGCTGTAAAGAAAAACCATGTATAAAGAACAACTAAAAAATATTCGCATTACTACGTCTTAGATAAAAATAGTATCTAGGCAAAGGACAGTAAGTTTGTCATTCCATAAATATACCATTTAACTGATTTAACTAAATAATTAAAGGCACAAAATCTTAACCTGTTACTCTCCACTACTCTCACTGTTTCGCGTTTTATCAAGATCCACGTTTTGCAAGTTTATGCAATTCGTTATGAAGCGGCATGTTATTTTTGTGACAAGTTACTGGCTCATTTTTAGTACGGAAAACGTAATCAATCAAGGTGAAATTTGTACTGCAAGAATGAGTTTGGGATGATGATGTGTCGGGAGTGCAAATCCAAATCTCGTTTTTACCTTTGAAACGCAATAATTACGTGGAACGAACACAATGTTCTATCTTTACTTTTAACGAACATACTTTCTAAGTCTACTAATTCTGTCATACCATATTTACTGCATTATGTAAAATTAAAATAATACCATACGCAATTCCCATTTCGCGATAATTACATTTTCGGTAGGTACCTAAACTGAATGGCAACATCGCTCCTACACCGAGTTGGAATCTGTTAGATAAGTTATAACCCCTAGGAGGGCCTAGAAACCACTATAGAATTCTGGTGTACAACCTCATGGAATTCTAATGACATTCATGGAATTCTTTTAGAATTGATGAAATTCATTAGGTATTCTGAATTTTTACAAGCTATGGTTTAGGTAGGTTGTGGTTTAGGTATTTTTTATTGATTTTAACATCTTTGACGTGATTATTTCTTACCGGTTTTTGCACGGAACTAAATTCATCTTTAACCGTCACAATATGCTACGTCAAGAGACGCGTCAAGTACCCCTCTCACCCGTCACGAGACGCTATGCGGAATGGCGATCTTTTTAAAGTGCATTGGAATGGAAATATCATATATCGTCAATGTGTCTTCGAAATTGACTCATGTGCACATTTAAAGTGTAATTTCGTGCACTATTTATCATTGTAAAGAAAGCCAAAGAAATCTTGAGCAGCTTTTTAAGGTAGCGAGGTGAAGCGGCGCAGCTATGTCATTGTGTTAAGCCAAATAATGCCATAAAAATTTAAATATTTCAAAAAAATACTTACGTGCACTTTTTATCATTGCGTGCAAAACTCATAGACATATGAGAATAAGGCAAAACCGAGAGTAAAACCAAAGAGATTTCTTTCAAGAACTTGCAATGCAGCCAGACAAAGCTATGCTCTTTTACGATAATATTCCTTTGAATTGTAATCATTGTAAAGAAAGCCAAAGAAAGCCGAAGTTGTTTTCGTGGGCGCCCTCAATATTTAAATATAATCCGTGCATGAGAAGGGCACTTTGGACTTCACGTAGATAGAACGTCGCAATTTAAAATTACAGTAGACTTAAGGTCACTTTGTATTTGAAAATTTATATCACAGATGGCGCCAATTCGTCTCATCTGTTAAAGTCACTCTATCTCTACAAAGTAGCACAATTGGTAAGGACAATGTGTTAGACAGATAAAAGAACTATTTGGAATTACAATGGCGGAGTGGCAATTCCCAAATGCATGTCAATGACCATTTGTCAGTTGTCACCCGTGGAATTCCACGTTTTTGTCAGGTTTTTATCGGGAGTAAATGCACATGAGCTTGATTTTTAATCAGATAATTTTATATTTACACGAAAACCAAAAACGGAAAAACCTAGATTAAAAGTGTGATAAAATCCCGACAGCTTTAGCTAGAGCGAGTTTATTTATATGCTTTTGATGACAGTTTTTTCCAGGAAGCAANATTATAACGGGTGTCCCAAAATTAACGCAAGATTTGAATTTGCCGCCATTTGTGCGGTGAAGTGTTGGCAACCCTGAAAAAAAGCAATTTGACAGCTAACAGTATAGGGTTATTAAAAATGGAGCGTTACACGATAGAACAACGTGTCTTCATTATTAAAGAATATTTCAAAAATAGTGAAAGCTTGGCGGCTGCAGTTCGAAAATTTCATACAAAATATGGTCGGAATAGTGTTTTAACTTCGTCAACTGTGAAGAGATTAATTGAAAAATTCATGGAGACTGGATCCGTTGGAGACGCCAAACACACTATTTTTGAAATATTCTTTAATAATGAAGACACGTTGTTCTGTGTAACGCTCCATTTTTAATAACCTATACTGTTAGCTGTCAAATTGCTTTTTTTTCAGGGTTGCCAACACTTCACCGCACAAATGGCGGCAAATTCAAATCTTGCGTTAATTTTGGGACACCCGTTATTACGTTTTAATTTTTTGAAGGGTAAAAATTAAAATAATGTTAATGGAAGCATTTTGTAGTATTTGGAAGCATTGGAAGGTCCGTTCTAAAACCTATATCTATGATTTGTGAAGAAGTACCTACATTATTTGTTGGTGCGGGGTATGACAAAATTGAATTGTTTCAGGTTCACTTCCCGGAGTAACAATTTGAAAGAAATAGGAGTGATAATCGAATATTATTACGCTGTGATGCAGTTCTTGATTTGAAAGTGACTGCCACAACTACACAACTTTATTTTTAGCTTCTTCAAATTTCACAAACTGCTCGCATACAGTCGCATCCAAAAATATTTGGTTGTGAATCTGATTTTTTTTTACTAAATTGTCCAACATTTGAAGTTTACCGCGTAATTTTGGAATCAAAATGGCAGCCGAATTGCACTACCTACTTTGTAGATAGGATAGAGCGACTTTATCATACGTCACGAGACGCTTCAAGTATAATATACGCATACCTATTTACGTGTATAACTTATTTCTGTAATACATCGCGGCAAAATGAAGGGGGCGAAAATAGTCACTTCTATCGGCATTCACTAAGTGCCCAACTTTTAAATGTTTTTAGTTTGCAGGTTTTAGCATTTGAACCTGCAACATAACTGCCGATTTATTATCAGTTACGATGTAGAAATATTCAGCACACGCCCGCTCGATGCCATGATGACAGCATTCACATGCTGAAACCATAAGTTCTCAAAACATGACTAAATTATTGCACCGCTGGATTTCAAAATCATGAAAGTAAACTTTCCCGTTGCTTTTCCCTTGACGTTCCCTTAAACGTTATAACAAAAATAAATCACCGGAATTCAATGGAATTATATAATTATAATACAGTTTTTAATAATCGATTATTTTGTAGAATTGGCAATTTTCGTCCAGGTGTGGTAATGTAGTAATGCCAAATATAATAATTTATTGTTCGGGTGGTATAAATGGTTACCTCTAATAGAAACAGCTCTAAACAGTAAAGATACTTACATTTAACATAATGCTCTTCAAATCTAGATCGCATTAATTTGTATAATTCTAAATATTTTTGATATTCTCCTTTCTTCCTCGCCACATCCTCAGAGAGCTGAAATAAAATATTAGATTATTATAAGTAAGACGAGAATGCATCAACATATTTTTTAAACATAGCCTATTCTACTATTACGTATATCAAATACGGTCGAGAATACGGCGGACTATCCTGTGTAAATCATGTCCCGGAATTGTCTCATTAGGTAACGCAAGTTCGATTTAAAATAAACTAAACAAATATAGAAAAAGAGCTCTTGGGTATGGCTATAGCATGTGCAAAACCAAATTTTAAACCTGATAAATAAGAAAGTTGGCACTGGCACTGCACATCCTACACAAACCCAAATTTGGAAAATGGCGCTACATTTGCTTTTATTCCAAGTGGATAATATGTATCAAATTTCATTTGAATGCCTCCATAAATGAGAAAGTTGGCACTGCGCATGCGAAAAACCAAATTTTGAAACTGGCGTTATATTTGCTTTTATGTCTTACTAACCTATCATAGCACATTTTATATCTGTGATACGCGGGCATAAAGTACCACTTTATGCCCTAGGGCATTAAGTATCACCATAGTAACTCATTTATACTTAATGACAAAACAAACAAATATTTGCAGGTCATTGAAAATTAGAAACGTCAATTATTAATTGTCAATACCTACTAAATCACAAGATTGGCCTTATTTCGTATAGTTTCTGGAACTTCTTGCTCATTCACGATGAATTGAATTATTTAAAATTACGTTTGACGTTTGGATGGTTTCAATCACATTAACAAATTCGAACCACGCATACTCGATCAAACATAATGAATTATTTTGTAAACGAATTTTGAAGAAGAAAACTATTTGTAAAACATAAAATTGTGTATGTACCACGGGCATAAACTGATGTTTATACTCTCGGGCGACTAAAAAGCTCTCGGGCCATAGACCCTCGAGCTTTTTAACTCGTCGCCCTCGAGAATATAAACATCACTATTATGCCCTTAATACATAAAATTATTCCAAGTGGCTATGTATCAAATTTCATTTTTGTAATTTCGTTATGAAATACTTAAATTTAGTTGGCGTTTTCGGTTTTAAAAGAGCCGTCATTTAGCCACAGGTGACACATTTTGGCACATTGGCGCACTGTTACATTAGTCCTACACTATGCTGAACGTGAATTCGATCAGAAAGTAAATACGAACTAGTTTCTTCTGCAGCCGCATCAACGTCGGATGAAATACTCACAATACGCGTCTAGTGCGCCAAAGACAGTCAATTTGTAACTTGTTACATAAATAGCTATTAAATACCTTCATAAATAAAAAAGTTTGCAATTCGGTTTATAAATGGTCGAGATGCGAAAAGGGCACTGTGATTGTTGATCGATTAGGCTCAATTTTTGGAATTGAGTTTTATATGGCTGAAGTTATACGCATATTGAATTTCATGCAATTCGGTTCATAACTCACGGAGATTTCAAAAGGGCCTTCCTTATTTTTTGGGCTACATTGCCAATTCACGAACTCCGATCTACAGATTTGATAAAGAATCCATCTACTAAATTTGATCGTAATCGGTCCATTCGTTATCGAGATCGTGCTAACGGACGGACAAATACCGCAAAATTATAAAATCGCTAGGAACTCGTTAATAAATCAGTTGCAGCAATATCGATGGTGCCACCTGACGTGCCGCCGTATTGAAAATGTTTTTATTTAACTCGGCAGTTTGTAAATAGCACCATAAAATATTGAGGCCGGTAACTAAAATTTTTCTCAAAATATAGCTGACATACAATCCTCTTGACTCTTGAGTCGCAATTCCTAGCTCTTAAACACAAATTCTTCGACAAGCTAGAGTTTTAATTATAGGGTGGCGCATCTAAAACGATCCAACCTTAATAACTGGCGAAAG